AAGGGGGCTGCTGCCCCTGAGCGCGCACACACTCTCTTGCCTCTCCCTCTCCTCTCTACACATCCTTCCCCCTAATTCTCACACTTCCCCAGAATTCAGAAAGCTCTTCCCTTCTCCTTGCATGCACACACAAGTGAGCACCACACATCACACCCCAGCCAACGCACAGGCAAATAACAGGCCCACAGAGACACATGTCTCCTGCCTACCCCTGCTGATCTTCATATCTCAGCCCCCCAATACCCTCTCCACAAACACACATCCCTGCCCAGCTGGGTTTTGGAGCAGTTGAAGAGTTTTAAAGTTTCCCAGCAGGCTGGAAGGTGGATGGACTGTGGTATCCAAAGGGACACTTGGAAGATCCCTTTTGTTTTGGAACTGGAGAGAGGTGTGGGCCTCTTCTTTCACAAGGCAAAAACACACCTCTGTCTCAGGAAGAATGAGTGAGGGCAGAGAGGGGAATTGAGGCTTTAAATTAGGGTATCCTGAAACATTTATATGTACATCTCTATCTCCAAATCCAAAGGGACCTTCCCACAGAGGGGAAGGCTGACGCTAACCAGGGTCTGGAAATTTCCTTCCAGGGAGGTGAGAAGAGAGGATATGAGGGCACAGAGCAGAAGATAGGTTATATCATCCTCTCACTGCACAAATGGTTGGGGAAATACCACACCTTACAGCAAGAGAGCTCAGAGGCGTGTTGAAATAGTTTGTATTCTAAAACACATTAATGTCTTCCAGCCATAAACTGACTTCCATCTTCTGCCTGTGTCCTCTGGCACTGTGCCCTTTGGTGACACCTCCATTGGTAATTAAGGGCTACTAAACGACCCTTTTAATTTCCAGCAAACATATCAAAACAATCATTTTCTTTTCATGCACCACCTGGAAGTCTAGGCAGCCCCACCAATGATAAACTCTGCTAGGATTTTAACTGCGTACAGATTGTCATTTAAAATATATTTTTAATATCCCTATATTCACTAAGTAACAGAGCTGCTTAGGCAGAAAGAACCATTGCTGATTTTTATGAACTGAAATCAGTTTAATGTGCTAGTTTTATTTTACTGTCAATGGGAAGCCTTCTCCTTCTACCTAAAATGATAAGCTAAGTGAATAGGCCCAGAAAATGTTTTGCTCTAAAGAATTACTGCTTTTCCTGTAACTAAACATCCATCCACAATTTTCAAGACTCACTTTCAAGGTAACCTGCACAAACTGACTTGATGGAAACCAAGCTGAGTTATAGAGCCCTCCTATACCAGGAGGGCAAATACACCCCCTCGCAATCTGCAAAACCTTCAACCACTGGTTCTGTGGCAAACAAACATTTTCAAAAATAAAAGCCCCAAACCCAGGTTTGTCGCCCTCCCCTCATTTCTGAGCAACGTGCCAGAAAGTTAAATGTCTTACTTTGTAGCTAGAAGCATGTTTTTTCTTGTGACTTGCTCGTTTGGATCGGAATGTTGTCGGTTGAGAAATTCAGCTACTGCTTTGGCAGGAAATTCTGTCTCACAGACGTACCCAAAATCTCTAGCTAGATGTACTGCTTCTCCTGAAAAGGGAGGCACGGGTGGGGATAGAAAGAAACACACAGTTCATCAGTACACACTGCACCAAGGTTAAAATCCATTAGGAACAAACGCGCACTACATTCTACTTGGGCTTTTCTTCTAAAAGGCTTGGAGTTTTTCTCTTTGAAAAAGGCAGGGCAAGAAAGGCTAATCACATCTTATCTTGCAGGAGTTTTCTTTGCTTCAGTGGAAGGCAATGTAAATGTATATTTTCATGACAATCGTTACAAGTAAAATCTCGCATAAGAATTTTTGAAAGTTTACATTCACTAAGAGACACTTTTAGACAGCCAGGATCCATCCACCTAGAATGTGTGCTTCAATTTATATATCCATACCTATAGAGAGCCATTTATGTACATTTTATTCACAGCTATTTATTCTGAAAATGTGTTTGCCTCACCCATACCTCTATATTCTTTTGCAATGCATCAATGATTAATATTGATCATAATTACTCCTAGAGCTCTTCTAAATAAAATGCATTAAACAGCTAAGTGTTTAAAATTTAACTTGATCGCATATAATTATATGTTCACCCCCAAACGATTAACCATGAGAATTTTAGGGTCATTCCACTGAGTCTGTCTGTTTTGTTGATTTTCAAATCTTTGGTTTTAATTTCCTGAACCAGTTGGTTTTTACTGCAGGGCTTCCTGCCATTAGCTCTAGCTCCGGAAGAACGCATGCGCCAATTAGAGCTTCAAAGCCTCAGTCCAGTGAGCTTGTTTCCATAAAATGGAGCGGATCATAAACAATAACAGTACTCTAGAAACTGCCTCATCGCTACAGGACTCAAAGCCCCAGCAATGTTTATACTATCATCCCCCCAAAATTAGCCACCATCACTAACTTATCTGAAGATCAGGCCTCTGGTTTTGGGTTTTTTTTTTAAAAATCATTCTTTTAAAGCCATTGTATGTGAAAGCCAAACAGAACAATAGATTACCATAAAACCTTCTCCATATTCATTAACATCACAAATAATGTTAAGCATCTACGAAATCTAGACTTTTTACAAGTTTTCCCCGCGTGATTTTTTACTACAGCATGTCAATGCAATTGCAAAGCCTTTTCAAAAACATGAAGACGCGGTAATTTTCACACGGTAGAAATATAGTTTGTTCACTCATCCTGGTGGGTTTTTTAAACATTTTTTTAATGAAGCCTGGCATCGTGCAGCGCTTCCTTCCCCATCCCTTTGAACATGAAACACTTCTAGCAGAATGCAAAGCAACAACAAAACAAATTCCCTCCTACACAACCAAACTTAAGCTAAACCTGCACAGCCTGAGTTGAGCTCAAAAGCGCTTTGCAAACTGGTGTAAAATGCAGTTGAACTCGTAAGTAAGGGGAAAGGAGATGGATCTATTTGCAGGCCTCAGGCATCCTTTGCGCCAATCGGTATGACACAGCTACTGCTTCAAAACTAAATGACTGAAAAGTCTTGAGCTTCCCACCTCTCAGTTCAGACAGCATACGACATCCCACAGCATTAAAAGTAAGTTGCACCTTTTCTGGCCAGAGCAAAGTAGAGGAGAACAATATAGCCAAGGGAACATGTGTTCAGAAAATGAGAACCAAAAGGGAGTGTGTGTGTGTGTGTGTGTGTGTGTGTGTGCAACTTCGAGGCTTTCAGGACACCGTTAATTCATGGCTGAGGTCAAGGATCCCCAAATTAATTCAGGAAGTAATGGTCACGCATTTCTCAAATGCAGATGTCAGAAAAGTTAAATGATTTACTGTTATGTGGCTGCAGGCTGGGAGGGAGAACAAACTTAAAGTAGATGCAGTTTTTGACATTTAAAATTGCTTGGTTCTCCACCTGTGGCAGAAGGACAGCAGTGAGGCTCTGCGGTCTTGAACTTCCAGCTAGACACTCAGAGGTCTCTTACGGGGCTAAGCCCTCAGCCCCCCTTCACAGGGATCCTTCCCATGCTGCTCCCAATGAGAGCTGCTTACTCAGGGAAGGGATTGCTCACTTGAATGAGTGAGCAAGATGGGGCCCTGAAAACATCTAACTCAGAAACTTAAAAGCAAATAAATGGCAGAATGCACTGCTGAGTTTGCAGGACTCGCACAAGCCCATTTCAGGTTAAAACAGAAAGCAAAGGTACACAATTAACATGCTGTTTTCCTAAAAGATAGAAAATAATGCCCTTCCAAATGCCAATGAGCAGCATGGACTCCGGGGAAAGAGAAAACACCCCAAACGAACCAACATCATCTCTTCTCCCGTATGGTAAAAGCAACAGGTACATTTTCCAAATGAGCCCTCGCAACCCTTTGAGTCACTTACCCTCCACAAGTGACGTGAGCAAGGTAACGTTAGCAGCTTTACGCCTCCCGGCTGGCAGGTTTAGTCCTATTTTGTCCAGTTTCTCCCTCAGAGATCTCCCTCCGTTTTTAGACTTCGCCCTGCTCCACACAAAAAGGGGGTGAGAAATGGGGCTTGGGGAGGACACCGGCTCTCACCCATAAATCACCTCAACACATCACCTTCCCATGGAGGAGAGTAAAGGGTTTAGGCATGTAGGATGGGATACTTGGTTGTGAGTAGCTGAAGGCCAACTGTTGATGAAAGCTGAGTCTCAGCCATAGGGATGGCACTTTGGATGTTTCCATGTCTAGGGAATAGGGGCCCTCACTAAGGTCTGGATCAGTCCCAGGGCTGGTAGGGAGCTCTGACCCCTGATGTGGCTGCCTGAGCTCCCAAGGTGCCATGGGCCAGGGGGTAACTTCTCTCCGAGTGCTACAGGAGGAGGCTGATTTGTAAAGCCAGTAACCCACAGAGCATGGCTGCCCTTACACCAAACCCTTTGTGGCCTCTCTGTGGCTTTTAGGCAGAGTTGGACCAAGCAGAACTGCGGAGATAGGAGCTGTCTTAATTAATCCTGGATGCTATTCCCTGCGCAGGCACTGCCTAATTGGCTGGGTGAGGCCACAGGGTGGGTGCAAGATACCGGCCAGTAACCTCTCCCGAATGGTGCGTGTGCCTGCGAGGGGTGCTCATCGCCACGACAGGACAGTGAGGACAGGACACCGGGGACCGTACAAGGATGCGCGTTGCCATGGCGACCGTGCCCGGACCACCCCCCAGCCCGCACCGCCCGGC